TCAAGAAAGTGTTCTTGATAATTCCCAAATTATATCTATATATATATTCCTATACAAGAAAACCGAGACATTTCTACTAGCGAAGAAAGGTCGTCGAAACCGGGCTTCATAGGGTGGATACGATTAGAGGGAAGACACTTGAATTCCTAAAGCGAGTAACCTCAAGCCGTTGAAGTTACAACCGGGAACCGATTCCCACAATCCACATCTTTGTTGAAGGAGTTCAAGACACTCGGTAAATATTTCGTATTAGTATTTACTTTATTGTAACAAATCAAAATTTGTATATGATGCATGTTTTAAAGATGACGATCAGTTAATTCGCAATTAGTATGCACGGGTGTTGTATTTTTACGATAAATACTTACTTTAAAAATTTTAAATTCCGCTGCGTACAGCCCGTACGGTACTAGCGAACCCAACAGCATGTACATAAACTTACGAATTTAGGGCTCATATGATCAAAAATTCATATCTCCTTATATCTCACATGCATGGCATCATTTTCCACATGATAATTCTTATTTTATCATGAATAAGTTAGGAAAAATGGTTGGCACGAGCTAACCTTGCTCAAAAGTCAAAATGAAGCTAATGGACTTTGCTCGGGGATCTCGCGGCACTAGGAACTCAGCCTCGGCTATGGGGCTGAAATGGCTGAAAGGATACACTCTGGACACTTAGAAAATTCCAAACAACTTTTGGAAAATGCTAAGCCTCGAGAGGTATGGCTGGAACAAGCTGGAACACGAGTTCTTCTCTTCCCCGGGGCACACGCGCGCGCGGCAAGGCTAGGCACTAGCTCTCGGTTTCTTGCTCTAACTCTTGAAATGTTTAAGTGTTATTAGGTGTCCAAGAGCTTAAACATCACTGAGGAATTACCCTTAAATAGAGGACATGTGTGGATGAACCAAAGCCTTCAAGTGGGAACAAAATGGCATCACATATGCGCATGGGACAAGGGACAAGGCTTGGGGGCTGCTTTGCACGGTCTTGGAGGGAATATGGCAGGGTATCCAACAATAAAATATGCCTTGGACAGGTCTTGGTCGGCCTTGAGGTAAGTGGGGGACAAATCCAAACGTAAACAAATGCAAATGGCCCCTCCACTCACATTAAATTAATGCTAATGTCCATGTGGTTATCCTTAATATTCCTTAGGGCTTCTTAAGCCTAATTAATCCTCCATTAACCCCTTAATATTCGCATGAAGTTGGGCCATAGAATTGGGCCACGAAACAATCCACATTGGGCCAAAGAATTAGACCCGCGCGCTGCCAGCGCTGGGCCTGGGCGCTGCTGAGCCCTGGGCGCGAGCTGGGCGCGGGAACTGCTGGGCTGCGCGCGAGAAACAAAACTTGGGCCGAGACTATACTTATGCATGGCTGAGGATAAGTGTTACCAACACTTAGAAAAATACACCATCTCATTCGGTCATGACCAAAGCCTTAGCATGGTGTCACGAGAGGCTAGCATGTGTTGGGTTCGCTAGTACCGTACGGGCTTTAAGCAGCGGAATTTAAAATTTTTCAGAGTAAGTATTTATCATATAAATACAACACCCGTACATACTAATTGTGAATTAACTGATCGTCATCTTTAAAACATGCATCATATACAAATTTTGATTTGTTATAATAAATAAATACTAAATACAAATAAATAGTATTTACCGAATAGTTCTTGAACTCCTTCACAGACGATGAACGAGGGAATCAATTCCCGGTTTGGTAACTTCAACGGATTGAGGTCACTCGCTTGAGGAATCCAAGTGTCTTCCCTCTAATCGTATCCACCCTATGAAGCCCGGTTCCGACTACCTTCCTTCGCTAGTAGGAATGTCTCGGTTTTCTCGTATAGGAATATTTATGAATTTTTATTTGGGAAATTTTAAGAACTTTTCTTGTTATTGTGAAGAATTTTTTCTTCTAACTCTTGAATTCTAAGAACACTTTCTTGAAATCAAATTTGCTTAACCTTTATGTAAACCATTTACATCTATTTATACTAAACATTTTAGCATAAAATAATCAATATTTAGTAATATTTAAATAAAATCTAATTTTATTTAAATACAATTACTAACTATTGACTTTAGATATAATAAACTATGTTTGGTTGTTCATAACCACCATTACCCACCATCTATTATATTCATAATTATTATTTTAATCCTTAAATCATATTTAAAGATAATATAATAATATATCTTGAGAATCTATTCCAAGACTTTATTATTATATTCATTTCCCAATTTTCATCCATATTATAATAATCATATTATTATTATTTTGGATTTGAAATTTAAAATCCTATTTTAAAAATTCAACTTTATTAATTTAGTAATTACCTTAATTACTAAAGTAATATCCAAAATTGTAATTAATCAATCTTATTGATTAATATATTCCTTTAATTGATATCTAATCAAATTAGATATTTATCAATTAATTCTAACCATTAGAAATACAATCTTTACCTTTGTTCATAATTAGTGTGACCTTTTAGGTTCACCTTAATACTAGTAGTGGGTTTACAACACTTTGTAATTTGAGTTAAATCTTATTAACTCTTATTCATGAATTAACCCTTTAATTTATGAACCCACATATCATGGTAACACCTAGCAAGTAGCATGAATCTAGTATTAAGTGAATAGCGAGTAAACCTATTCCGATTACAACTCCATACATGTAAAATCCTTTCGACATCTAATTTCCCGATTAAGTCTTGGGTATGATTTTGTCGAAACCCAAATTGACTTAATAACTATGATTCTATTTCATGTTTATTAACCCGGTTATGAATCACTATTCATCTCTGCCTTGGCCAAGGACTTTGGATTAATAACTATGAAACACATAGGAAATTCACTTATCTTCATAAGTGTCGAATCCTTTATTGGCCACTAACAAACTTCCATACATATCAACATAATACCCAACTTATCCCTTTAAACGATAGTGCTAGCTACCAAAAGGATAAATCAAAGTAGAATGTAATATGCACAAAGTTACCATTGTGCCTCAAGTCTTAGGATTAGTCATGTACTATTGTAACATGAAAATTCTTATTCGACTGAATAAATTCTTCATTAAGAATTTTCATACGGTCATGTTCAGTGAACTTGTTCTCTAACAAGCACCCACATAAATGTACTTACGTCTTACGCTAATGTTGATGGAATGCAACATTCTTGTCCAACAAGCATACAAACTATGTGCAAGTCTTTTATGGATTATTCGATATCCCATCTCGAAACATCCATCGACTTGGAACTGTATTTAAGATCACGGCTTTCAAGGTATGTTCCATGATCACCATCTCTATGCGCAACCATACCTTATAACCATAAGTGATCTAGGGATTTTATCTTAAGTGCAATTATAAGATAAATGCTTTCTCTTAAGATAAAGAAATGCCTTATTCATAATATAATTCCAATAGACTGTATTTAAAAGTAGAATACATCCAATTAGATTGGAACGCCGGGTACCCTACTCTAACAGCATGCGCATTGCTTGGGCTCGGCGCTAGGGACTTGGCCCGAGAAGAACTTGCTCGGGTAAATGCTGATATAATGAGCCCCTATACTTAGAAAAATTCCAACCAACACTCGGCTATGAAAAGGACCACCTTGGCATGGCTCGCGGTACTAAGGCGCGAGGGATAATCCCGGCACGAACTCGGTGCGGGGCACTAGGCTCGATAAAATGATCGACTCATACTTAGAAAAATATTCTAAGTAAGGCTATAAGCGACTAGGGCTTGAACAAGACTCGAGACTACTAGGACTCGAGAATTTGGCTAGGCGCGATACTCGTGACCGAACGACTTGGTTCCGGACACGGCTCAACTTGGACGATTTATCGAAATATACTCGATTTCGATTATTCGTCAACTGAGATAATTAATTCCGACTGAATGAAATCCATTACTAAAAAAAATAAATGGACCGGAATTAATAACTGGGATTGAATAGCTGATAACTGGGCTCGGAACTCAAGACGAGCAGTATTAATAAAAAGAAATAGTTCAACTTGGAACTAAAAACTGTCATTTTTATTAATACAGAATTTGAGCTATTACATTAACTATCTTTGTCAGTCTGTCGCATGTGTAAATAATTGTTTTGCACTTTATCAATTATGCTCTCTTGTTTGTCGCACAAGTTATCACATAACTGTTTCGCAGTTTATCAATTATCTTCGATTTATCGCATAGTTTATCGCGTAATTGTTTCATACTTTATCAATTATGTTCTCTTGTTTATTGCATAATTGATCGCATAACTGTTTCGCAGATTATCAATTATCTTCGTCTGTATGTCGCATTTCTTATTGCATAATTATTTCTCATTTTATAAATATTCTTCGCATGTCTATCGCATAACTTATCGTATAATTGTTTTCGCACTTTATGGGTGAAAATGTTATTTTTTTGTTTGGCAGTGTGTAAAACTTATTCCGTCTTCAGACTGAGGTGAAAATAATTATTTCCTCTTATAAATTATGTTTGTCTATTTGTCGCATAGTGTATCACATAACTATTCCATACTTTATCAATTATCTTTGGTTTGTCTGTCGTAATTTTATCAATTATGTTTGTCTGTTTGTCACATAGTATATCACATAACTTTTTCTTCGGTGTGTCACATAGTTTATCACATAATTGTTTGGCACTTTATTCATTATGTTCGTCCATTTATCGCATAAGTGTTTCACAATTTATTAGCCATCTTCGTCTGTATTTTGTAATTTATCAATTATCTTCATCTGTATGTCTCATAACTTATCACATAATTTTTTCACATTTCATCAATCACTCCCCTCTCTCTGTCAGCTAACGTATAATTATTTTCGCACTTTATAAAGTGAAAAAGTCAAATTTTTATTTGACCGTGTGTAAAATATTATGTCTTCGGTCAAAAAAAAACTACTACCTCTAAAAAAATAACTATGAACTATCATCACTTCCGTTCATAAATCGAACGAATCAAGTGTAAAACTACACTCTCTGGCGTTTACATATTTGCCCTCTTTTCAAGTCTGGCGTTTGGCCTGTGTTTGAGTGAGGTTAGCATATGTTTCAGCCGACGAACGGCGGCAGCGGGGTGGGCATTGATGGCGGCGGAGTTGGATATAGCAATGGCAATCATCATGGAGGAGGTGGCGGCGATGTTTACGGTCACGTGACAGGGCCTCGACCCCGGAGAAGTAGGCCCGGCAGGTCGCGTGACTATGGCAGCGGTTCTGATGCTAGGGTTCCGCATCAACAGCAACAGGAGAAAGAAAAAGCTTCCCCTCCCTGTACGAATTACGATGTGGCGTATTTTCACTCCTACGCTCACCTCGGCATTCACGAAGAGATGATCAAGGTATGGCTTTTCTCTACACAAATTGTGTTGCGGTAACATTTCATTCATTTTTCAATACAGTTGGAATCTCGGATATAGTGCGCATTTGAGTAGCTAGAGGCCGAGAAATGTATGTTACTGAGTATTTACTATCTTTTCTTAAATTGAGTTATTGTTTTCTTTTGTTATTTATTATTATTGGTAGTTAGAAATATGTGGGCTTGAGTTATGAAATTTATGGAAAGTTGTATAATCATCATTTGTGATTTCATTTCTTCTTTTACTTCAATCAGACAATTATAATGCAGATTTGCGAGTGAAGAAATGAGTGATTTTATAGTGTATTTTTCTCAAGAACTTTCATAAGAAATCACATTTGAGGTAGAAAGATTCTCTAGTGTGACAAACATGACAATTTTCTTGTATCTTTTTCTAATTGGGTCGTTATTGTTTCTTTGCTCGTCACCTTGATGATTATGTTTATCACTTTGGGTATTTTTGACATATATTATGTTTCTTTGTAATGTTGGAAAGCAAGAGGTAAAGTTTAGATGATCAATCTGTTGGATAACTGAAGATAATTATGATAATTGGAAAGTTAAACTATGTATATATTACACCATCTTTCTTAATGTTGCTCTATGCTACTGTGTAGAAGTTAGTTTTTCTATTGTTTTCTGTATCATTGGCAGTTCTTTTACCAAGGTGCTTCACCTGGTTTCCAAAGTTGGGTGAGACATCCATATTCTGGAAGAAGGAAATATTTATCTTTGGATGTCAGTTTCATATGGTTTAGAGTTCAATTAAACTTTGATACTAAGGTGATTTCTGGTCAAGCTGACTACAGTGATGGGAGATGGAATTTTAGTGTTTCTCAGTTCATTTCTTGGCAATTATGTCCAATGTATTTTGTTGACATTATAAGCTTAATATTTATTATATCTTGGTCATAATTGTAGTGTTTTAAGTTTCATTTTGTGGAACTTAGCCATTGATATATGGGAGATATTTCTTCTGTTTACAGTTAGTGCAGACTTTTGTGATTATCTATTGTCTTGATGGTGATTGTCCAAGTCTCATTTTTGCTGAACTTGTTTTTTAGCTTTGATTATTTTCTTTTGTTTACAATGTAAACACATGTGATGACAGAAGGTCATCATTTATGGCAATTGTAATTCTTCTGGCACGAGAAAACAGGGAAAAAAGTTATTAATATTTTTAGCCTGCACGTGTTTGAAGGTGTATATGCTTGCATAATTTTTCATTAGGCTGTTGATAAATTAATCCAACTTGGTGTTCAGTATGTGGTTGTTGTAGAGTGTAGAACTCAGGGCTTAGGTGGGACTTGATCAGTTTAACATTTGCAAATATTAATTAATTTCATAGTGTACTTTATTAGTATCGGCTAATAAGTCCTGAACTAATTAAACACGAAAAATAATCTTTTGTACTTTGATAAAAGTTCAGGATTGCTGATAAGGTTTTATTATTTTTTATTTTTCAAAAAATGGGCAAGTATATCTCAGTTTTCGGATTTTTTATATCTTCTGTCCTGATGGAAAGCATTAGTCCACATACTTTGTTGCAATGTTGCTACGCACACGCACACACACACGTATATATTCACCTATTTTATTTAAATCATTGATTTTAAGCCTGCATATGAAGATGGTTTATACGTTGTGCAGGATCGTGTGCGTACAGAAACTTACAGAGATGCAATTTTCCAGCACCAAGAACAGATTGCAGGAAAAGTAAGCCATTGAAAAAACTGCTCATAATTATTTGGATATTTTAGTATTTTATATGTGCAGGTTTAATCTCGATAATGGCACTCTTCATAGCTGTATCTGCTTTGGTATCACCTGCAGCTGTATATTATACCTGTTGAAAATCTCATGTGATATTTACTGGAAGATAAAAGGAGGGCAATGAAAAATGCTATTTATGTCATGACAAAATAATCAGTGTGGTCCTCTAGAATGCCATTAATATCAAAATTCTCATATTTGTTTGAGTAGCTTTTGTGGTTGGCTACCTTTTCACCTTCTTATGGTGAATATTGATTTCTTGTATTTCAGGTTGTAGTTGATGTTGGTTGTGGCACTGGCATCCTCTCAATATTTTGTGCTCGGGCTGGAGCCCGAAGGGTAAGATGCTGCTATTGTTCTCTAACTCTCTAGACCCAGATAAAACTTGGTAATGGTATACATCATTTTTCTCTTTTAAAACTTTTGATTTTTCAGATTATGGTTTGATTTCCTTTTAAATTGTTGCGTATTAACTCATATATATGTCAATTTAAATGATCACTAAAAGTTATAGAACTGTGGAACTTTCATTACTGGTGAAACTGCTGGCCTTCGCTCCTTTTGTGTGTTGGGGATTTTCTTGATATATGATGATCTAACGTAGCATCATTAGTTTTTTTATGTACAGCCTCATTGGTTCATGGGACAAACAAGTTCCATAGTGTATACATTCATTAAGAATTGATAATGTCTCCCTTGCAAATGGCAGAGGTATTTTGGCAATCAAGTTGATTTGCGTAGGTGTGCTTCAGTTTGTGACCACTTAATAATCAATATGATTGTTGCAACACATCACTGAAGGTCATATATTCTCAGACAGGGTGCAATTTGACAGAAGCAGATTTATATCTTTATCCATAAAATTTCTGTGGAATAATTAATTGTATGTTTTTGGTTCAAATATTGGTTTGGCCTCCCTAGCATTTCTTATACGTGAAAACTAATTTGAATGCTCATCTATTGGAATCTTTTAATCAAGTAGTATCATTAAATATGTGCTTTATGTATGTTCCTCATGGACAATCATTTCATGTGGACCTTTACGTGGTGTTGTTTGTGGTTGTCTGTCTCAATCTCTCTGTAAGCTATTTCTGTTTTCTGCGCAAGATTATTTGTTATTTCTTGTTCTGTTACATTAAGATAGCTATTCTGATTGTTTTATTTTTGCTACTAGGTGTATGCGGTGGATGCCAGTGATATAGCAGTTCAGGTGCTTAATATCTTATGTTTTCCAAGCCAAATTGCTTTCTTCTTGATATTTTACTGGATTGGAGTATTAGTTGGTCTGGGCAGGGTTCTTTTAAAGAAAGCATTACGTGCTGTGTTGCAAGTGATTCTCATAAGTTTGATTTGTTTTGCAGAGTCAAGGTGTTGGAAGTGAGATAGGTTTTTGTTGTCAAAAATGAGGAATAGATGTTAGAATGAAATTGAAACAAAATAAAATAGATTTTTGGGTCTTACCTCATTTGAAGAATAGAATATTATACAATATCCTTACCACCTATTATTTTGTTATACTCCATATATTGGAAACTGCATGTTTCATGCTTCTTGTATCTAGCTGTATCTATATGCTGTAGCCGTTTTATTAAAGGATGTCAATGTTCTGATCAATGTCATTATGCCATGCCAGGCAAATGAAGTGATCAAGGCAAACAACTTATCCGAGACAATCATTGTATTGCATGGGCGAGTTGAGGTACTACTCTCTTTCATGACCAATCTGTGTAATTTAAGATTCTATCTTCTAATTATTGGAAAGAAAAGGTCTGTTTTCCTTAACTCTTCCAGCATTATTGACATGTGTGAACTGAAAATTTTTCACAATTGAATTAGCAAAGACAATTGTAACAGATTAATTAAATTTGTCAATAGGCAGCCATGGGTGGGCAATATGGCTTAAAATATTCTAATGCCAGTTGATCTAATGTTTCCTTTTGTGCTTCTATAAGCCAGAAAAGAAAAGAAGAATGAGTAGATGATAAAAATGAGTATCTATGTTTTGAAGTTTTTCCCCTGAATGCATTATGTACTCTCGAAGAAAAGAGCATTGATCGCCATGTAGGCATGTAATGTTTGAATAGAAAGTATATTGGTTTCAGAAGAATGGTGGTTTCTTGAGGTTCGCGTTGCGTAGACTCAAGTTAATTATTTGTAGAAAGAATAAAAGTCTTCTAACAGTTTATTTAACCTTCTTGAAATGAATATGATGTAATAGTTTTTTTCGCACAATATCATAGGATGCAGCAGTTAATAATAAGATCATGCAGACAACTTATTATAAGTGATAATTGCTTAGGGTAGGAAATCACAGACCCCGTTGTAGCCCTGAGGGGCGAGTTAAGTCACACGGTCATGTTGGTTCATAAACATTGACGCTTTTTAAGTTAAAGATTGAAGAGGAAAACGAAACCTCAACGACACACTTTTCTCTCTAACAAAACCAATATTGAAGAACAATGCCGACTTAGAGATTTAGGGGGTGATTGTTTATCATCTCAACTAAAAAAAAAAAATCAATCAAAACTCAAATTTAACTTCACTTTAACCAAACTCCACTATCTCTAATATTATCAATATAATTAAATAATATCAACCAATCATTCAACCAATCATTCTTACACATCACATCAACTTTAATTCATTATTCATTCACTCACATAATTTTACCTAACCATCCATTCCAATCATTTTTCTCCTACTTTTACATCATATCAACTTTAATTATTTTATTTTAAATATTATTTTAATATATCCACTAACAACTAACCATACCACCTTTTTTTCAAAATTAACTATAGTTAAAAAAAACCAATTAAAATTGTTGAATTTATAAACAATCACCCCCTTACAAATTTCTGTTTTTTGCTGATATTTGTCAAATTCATTGCAGAGTTCTTTTGCTTCTCTGTGATCCATCTCTCCTAGGCTGCCTTATATACTATGCATTTCTATAAAAACTTGTGCCAAATATATGGAAAGAGACTTTATTCTAATAAGTTAACATGAATGGAATTATATGTTGGAAACATCAGTCTTATGGTGAATACTCCGTTAAAATTGTGGGAACAAGTTGAACTATTGGTAGAAGAACATTGCAATAGGAATGTTGAAAACAGTAGCTTCGTGGTATTACTTTAGGTATTTATATGTTAGTATATACACAAGACACGACTATCAACTCTGTTTGGTATGGTTTTTTTTTGGATATAAAGGTTTGTATAAGCTTCACAATATCATTATTCACTGAAGGTACTCATACGCTTATAAGTCCCAATTGGCGGGAGTTTCTTTTTCTTTATCTTTTTTTTTTTCTTTTTTTTTCCCCTGAACAAAGTCACTGTGCTTTCTTCAAACATAACTTCTGATATATAAATGTAGTATGATAAACTTGTTATGACCACTGCAGGATGTTGAAATCGAAGAAAAAGTTGATGTTATAGTTTCTGAATGGATGGGTTACATGCTTCTTTATGAGGTGATCATCATTCAGCTGCAAGTCTAGCATGTATTTGCATTGTGCCGAATTTTCAGTTCTGGATTCTAGCCTTTTGCCCATTTGTAGTCCTTTTGTCTAATGTGGAATTTTTTGACTATCCTGTTAGAGCATGCTGGGAAGTGTTATTACTGCTAGAGACCGGTGGTTGAAACCTGGTGGTCTTATGCTTCCATCTTTTGCCACAGTATTACTTAATTACTCTCTCTTTCATGTGCAAAACACACACAAACGCACACACACGCACACACACACCACAAGGTTCACAACACACTGCCACTTGATGAAAATGCCTTTACTCTGCTGAAAAGCTGGTGTTTAATTCATCATTGTCTACTATAGAGAAGTATCATCATTCATTGTGGTCAGCTATAAACATGTAATTCGAAGTTGTGGTTTATTTTGTACATTTTGCAGTTGTACATGGCCCCTGTTTCTCATCCGGACCGATATACCGAAAGCATTGACTTTTGGCGTAATGTGTACGAAATTGATAGTAAGTATTTCTCAGGTTCTGTTATCTCAACATGCAGTTGTTTTCTACTGCATTTTCAGGACATGAAAAGCATAGAGACATGCTAGGTTTTGTTTTCAACTTCATATTCTTTTTTTTTTTAGATGTTATGCATCATCATCATCATTATTTGTGGCTGACTTACATCACAATATGTTACAAAAGGTTAAGTGGGGAATCTAATGTTGAATTAAGTTACACAGTGTAGTTTGTAGAGCAGGCTGAGGGCTGGAACATTAATGTTAGGCTTTCCATTTTCCATCTCTATTAATGGGAACCTGTTAAAATGAGCATCCATCCAATCGTTGTTCTGGAGATCTAATACCTGAAAATGCTGGCCAATTGTATTCACAGCGTTTAAATATTAAGATGGATTTGTGATGCTGCAACTTCACATTCAACTGCATGGATAACTCCTTTTAGCCTCTGTACCCTATTTATCATTGCAAATTCCAAAGATATATTGCTCCTAAAATTGAACGCTCGATTTATTATTTTTTCTGCTGTTTTTAACTTCTAGACGCACTAGTTAAGATTTTATGGTTTTGTGTAGTGTCTGTCATGATGCCGCTAGCAAAGCAGTGTGCATTTGAAGAGCCTTCTGTTGAGATCATCAGTGGTGAAAATATATTGACATGGCCTCATGTGGTGAGTTGTTCTTCATATGTTGATTTCTTTAATATTAAGGGGGTGATTGGATATAAGGTATATTGGTTTTAATTGGATTTAACCAGAGCTAATTTTGAAAAAGTTGATTGGGTTAAGTTTGAGTGTTATTTTGAGTTAAAAAAAAAAAAAAAAAAAAATCTAGTCGAAAGTAACTAGATATCTTATAAACAATCAGGGCCCAAGTTATAGTGGAGCCTAAGTTATAGTGGTGACTGCATATCATTTTCTATTTTACCTAACAAGGCATTGTCCAGTGTATAGTTTGGTCTTCTAATTACTCATCTATAAAAAGCTTATAAGACTTCTTCTCCCAAGTGTCTGTTTAACATCTTTTTTATTGATTTTGGTTACAGGTAAAGCATGTCGATTGTTGTGCTGTTACAATCGAAGAGTTGGAGTCTATTTCGACAAGATTCAAGTTTCAATCCATGATGAGAGGTAAAAAAAGTCGTCTCTCTCAGGAACTATTGTTTTTATTAGTACTATCATTAAACTAGCACATATGCTTTTATAATTATAGTAGCACCCTGTTTGATTATTTGCTGCAGCACCATTTCATGGGTTCGCATTCTGGTTCGATGTGGAGTTTGGTGGGCCCACTGTTGGTGTTGATAATCATGTTACGGATGGTAGTCAGAGAAAGAAACGTCCCAATCCAAATGACGCCCTTGTGCTTTCTACAGCACCCGAGAACCCTCCAACACATTGGCAACAGGCTCTCTCTCTCTCTCTCTCTCTCTCTCTCTC